AAATTTTACATAAATTTATTATAATAAAAATTTGTTATCTAAATAGAATTTATATATAAATTTATATATTAAAAATTTTAACCATTTAAAAAATATTTTTTTTAATTTTAAATTAGTATTAAAATAAATTATTATTTTTCGATTGAACTATTTTTTTTTTTAAAAAAAAAAATCTGTTCTGTATTTTATATTTCGTTTTTTGATAAAACTTTAATATATTATTTTATTTATTATAAACCCGATATTGAACACCTGTTCACCGTCAAAAAAAAAAAAAATTTACTGTGCAGAAAAAAAATTTTAACCGCACAAATTTTACGTGTTTCTCTGTGCTGTATATTTTTTCGTTTCAAGATTCGGGTAAGTATTTTTGCTTCTTCTATTCCTCCACTTTTACTTCCGTTCCTCCCGTTCCTTCGCTTTTGTCCGTTTCCCCGCTCGTGTTCATACCCTTTCCCTCTTTTTTTCTCCTGTTCCCCTCGCTTCTATTTCCATTCTTGATCCCGCTCCCATTCTTGATCCCGTCCCCATTCTTGATCCCGCCCCCACTCTTGATCCCGTTCCTTCTTTTGATCCCGTTCCCACTCTTGATCCCGTTCCTTCGCTCGATCCCGTTCCCTGCTCGATCCCGTTCCCTCACTCGATCTCGTTCCCTCGCTCGATCCTGTTCCCTCACTCGATCCCATTCCCTCGCTCGATCCCGTTCCCTCACTCTTGCTCCATACCCATTCCGTTTCTTTTTCGCCCATTCTTGCTTTCCTCCACTTTGCTCCCGTTCCCGCTTTCGCTTGTTCCCCGCTCATGTTCATACTCTTTTTCTTCTGTTCCCCTCGCTTCTATTTCCATTCTTGATCCCGTTTCCACTCTTGGTCCCGCCCCCACTCTTGATCCCGTTCCCACTCTTGATCCCGTTCCCTCGCTTGATCCCGTTCCCTCGCTTGATCCCGTTCCCTCGCTTGATTCCGTTCCCTTGTTCTTGCTCCATACCCATTCCGTTTCTTTTTCGCCCGTTCCCGCTTTCGCTTGTTTCCTGCTCGTGTTCATACCCTTTCCCTCTCTTTTTCTCCCGTTCCCCTCGCTTCTATTTCCATTCTTGATCCTGCTCCCATTTTTGATCCCGTTCCCACTCTTGATCCCGTTCCCTCTCTTGATCCCGTTTCTTCGCTCGATCCCATTCCCTCGCTCGATTCCGTTCCCTCGCTCTTGCTCCATACCCATTCCGTTTCTTTTTTGCCCATTCTTGCTTTCCTCCACTTTGCTCCTGTTCCCGCTTTCACTTGTTCCCCGCTCGTGTTCATACTCTTTTTCTCCCGTTCCCTCGCTTCTATTTCCATTCTTGATCCCGCTCCCATTCTTGATCCCGCCCCCACTCTTGATCCCGTTCCCTCTCTTGATCCCGTTCCCTCTCTTGATCCCGTTCCCTCGCTCGATCCCGTTCCCTCTCTTGATCCCATTCCTTCGCTCGATCCCGTTCCCTCGCTCTTGCTC